GAGCAGCCACAGAGAAGGCCCTCCTCCGGGTAGTTGCCAGCCGACATTGGCCGGCTGATGGAATTCGGAGGAGGCCTAATCTGTGGGATCGTATCGGCCTAGTGGAGGTGATTGGCAGTAGGCGGTCTCTCAAGTACCCAGGTCCAATACCATGCAGGGCTTTGTAGGTGACAAGTAGCACCTTGAAGCGCACTCGGAGATCAACAGGCAGCCAGTGCAGCTCGCGGAGGATAGGTGTTACGTGGGTGAAATGAGGTGCACCCACGATCGCTAAAGAGCATCTAGGGATGAACTAAATCCAGATGAAGCAGCTGCTCATTCTCCACCAGGCGCTCAGTGTGCAGCCACGGGGCAGCAGCAGCAGCAGCAGCAGCTCTACTCCTGGGAAGCCCACTCCTCTCCTTGTTCAGTAGACAGGACTTCGCTGGGCTGGGGCCATGCTGCCCCCTCCCGGTCCCTAGAAGGAAAGAGCTGCCGAAGTCCTACCTGCAGCTGCAAGAAGGGGATGTTGAAGAACTTGTGCAGGTATTTGAGGCCAAAGCTGTTCTTCATGGAAGACTCGGCATAACGAAAGTAGGAGGAGCCGGGAGGCCTGTTCAAGGTCAAAAGTGGATTGGGGGGGGGGGGGAGAAGAGAGACTGTGAGCCAGAGGATGATTGCTTGAGACCAACCCTCCAACTGCAGCTGACTCAGCCTGCCGAGGGGCTATCATGCTGTCCACGGCCCTTCCAAGGCACGCCTTAATGCCAGGTAGGGGCATTAGCTGAAGAGGCCTGCTGCCCATGAACCTGGGAGGTGGAGGGGGGAGGGCAATGGCTGCCAGCAGTTCAACTGAAAACAGCTGCCGAAAAAGGCACAAGAGCTGAGAGAGCACACACCCGTCCGCCGGTGGGGCATGTCCAGTTTTTATGCCCACAATGCCTGGTGGATGCTAGCTTTGATGAAGGAGATCAACCGATCAATGCAAAGCAGGCACACAATGAGTTTGCAGGCATTTCGTCATACGCGCACAGCACTTCCGCCCACTCACACCCTCTGCTGAGATGCTGCAGATGAACGGTAGCAAAGCAGATGCCAGCTAGGGAGAAAAGGCCTGGGCAGAATTTACTGACGGCCTGGGCAGCAATTTGGCACACGTGCCCAGAAGGTGCCAGTGAGATGCTGGACAATGGCGACTCATTATTGGAGGAGGATGCGGTGCATGCATTCAGACTGCTGCCACCTTTAGGTAACAAGCTCGCCAGAAGGCAGGTTTAAGTGGAGCAATGAACAAGAGGCCCCAGGAGGGTTTCCCAGAAGGTAGCCTGAAGCTCCTTAACAGGATGGATGCTTTTACCTGTTCAGGTTGTCAATGAATTCCCGCACATCGTCAGGCAGGATCACCCGGTGTTCGCCCATGTCTCGGTAGTTCCCAAGCACGCAGACAGGTACATGGGTTGGGACTTTTGGAAGTTCTCTCAGGATGTAGTTGAAAGTCCTGGATGGAGTGGAAAGGAGAGCTCCTTGAATGATGCTTGTCCAGGTCACCTCTGCCACAACAGCTCTGAAAGAGGCTGCGCCTACGGGAGGCACAACAGCCTAGAGACCCCTTGAGTCAATAGAGCAGCTGAAGGAGACCCCTCCTCCCCCACAGAGCCATGTACGTCATCAGTTCTGCTTGACACTCTCAGGTCTTCGGGAGCAGAAAAGCATTTATCATCTACAAGCTTTGTGTAACGCCTGACGACGAGGCTTTTGCACTTCTCAGAGAGGAAGCCCTTTCTCTTGTACCGAGTCACAGCAAGGGAAAGGTGAAGGCAGCAGTCCCTACCACTGTTTGGTGATATCAAACATCATCACGACACCGTTGCAGTTCTTATATACATCCAGGAATTCCGCATCCAAGGCCATCTCGGATTCTGCCTGGGGTGGAAAGAGAAAGATCTCGAAAAATCTCCGGCTGCTTCCCGGGATGTCTCACAGCGTACAGGAAACAAGAGGCTGCACCAGGTGCAAATGAAGGACTTGATGCTTTATAAGAGAGCAGGTCAGAGTGTGCCTCACCTCCTGAGGATCGTTGTCCAGCTTCAACCCATCTCCCCGTTTTTTGGACTTGCCTGCAGTGTTTGAAAGGGGAAGAGCACAGTTGTGAAAACAGTTGGTCTCCCGGCTGTGCAGAAAGAAAGAGGGTCCCAAACACGTATCTTTTCCCACATCCCACCTCATGCACAACATTTCTGCCTTTGGAAGCTCAGAAGGAGACATCCCATCACTTTGCAGAAAGAGGAGACAGAAACTGGACAGGGTGAACGTACATTTCCAGTGGGGACATTCAAGAGTAGCACCAGAAAGCAGTAGCCACGGGCAAAGAGATGCTCCGCTCACCCCTAGGAAGCCAGTGGGGCAGGCAGAGGAGATGCCTGTTTCCCAACCCTCTCAAGCCTAATCCAAATACTATATAATGACTGTAGCATCCGAATGAAAGGAGAGACCTTACCTTTATCAACCACATCCCAGACTTCAACCTTCACAATATCATCAGTAGCTGGAAAAGGCACCCAGGCACATAGATTAGAAAAGTTTGCTCAGTTGCAGTTAACTCGGACACTGTTAGAGCTACCCCCGACCCACGTGGCATAGAGCAGATGGCTGGGTGTGTTTAAAAAAAACGAGGACAGGCCTATTCTGGCAACGTGCCTTTACCAATGAGGGGACCAGAGCAGCACGTGGCTCCAGTGTTGAGTTATACATCAGACAGCAAAGAAAAAAGTGCTTCTCCGTCCCCAATAGCTGGCAAAACTCACTCTTATAGTTCCAATGGATGCTGGTGACTTGGATCTCCTGGGTTGGGATATATTCCTCAACAAATTTCTTTCCCTGCAGCCGATGCCACAAAGTGGTCTTTCCTGTGTTCCTGTCACCTCGAATGACAATTTTCACTAGGGAAAGAAAAATGAAGGAATGATAAAGGGAGTCAAGAGCGCTGCAGAGACACAAGTCCAGTCGGTGTGCTTAAAGACAGGCATCTGCTTTCTAAGATAAAAGGAAGGGTCGAGGCGGGAATGGCTATTGGCAGCCACAGCAGTACGTGCCAATAGTCGCCGGCCTTTTCATTGAAAAATTTACTTTTTTAAAAGTAAAACTGATGTCAAAAGAGTGTGACTGGGGAAAGGAGGCTGCTGAGAAAATCAGATGCTCTGGGGCAGTTAAGGAAATGAAAGCATTATGGCAGGCGTTTGTGCTCAGCCAAGGAAATGTTAGGAGAACGGCCAGTGCCCCCAACATTGTCCTACTCAAGCAGGGAAACTCAACCCAACCCATCTCAACACAGGCCTCAATGCCACTGCAAGGAACGGGACCCGGTTCTAAGGTAACTGAGGAGGATTGTGTTTCCCGCAGACAAAGCAGCACAGGAGGGGTAACGTGGCCTGGGAGCTGCCTTCGTTGAAGGAAAGAAGTCGGAGAGGCACAAAAAAGCATCCCAAAAGCAGGGGCCCGTTTGAAGGACTGCAAGCAAATCAGCAGCTGAGACGGAGACCAAAGCAGGGGCTTCTCTTCCAAGGGACAGAAGGCAGAGCAGCTCAACAGAGACTGAAAAAAACTTGGCTTCGGGAACCGCCACTCGTTTGGGGAGTGATATCGGGGCCCTCGGGAGGGAAGAGGCGCTTGGCCGATGGGCCTCGGGGACCTCAAAAGCGTCCGAGCAAGCCCTTGATCCCCACCCACCCCCGCCCTGCCTGTTCGGGAGCAGCCAAAGCGGCCTGACGGGGCCTTTCGGGGGCTCCAACCGGCCTCCCAACCAACGCTCACCCCACCATCAGCCGCAGCTGCTACGGGCCGGTCCCAGCCCTCCTACTCGCCCCTTCCCCTCGGAAGAGCCCGGGGCAGCCGACTCGCCCGGGCCGCCTTCACGCCGAGGCCTCCCATCCAAGCCCCCCCCCCCCGGTCTCCGTACGGCTCTCTCCTGCCCGCAACGGCCCGTCCAAAGCTCGGCAAGGCCTCCCCTCCCCTCCCTCGGCCGCCGCTCACTGTTATACTGGACGCCCTTGGCGAAGCGTCGCTGCAGCGCCTGGTTCATGGACTGGAGCCCCGCCGGGATGGGCTTGTCCCGCCCCGGGGCCTGCTCGGAGCCCACCAGCTTCTTCAAGGCCGACAGCATCGTCAGGCGCGGGACGGCGCTCCTCGGTCGCTTGCGCCCGGGACGGCGAGGCCGCCTACTTCTCCGCCCGCGGCCGCTGAGCCGCCGCCCTCCGCGCGGTCCCCGGAGCCGCCGTCCCCGCCGCGGCGGCCGGAGTGGCTTCCAAGGCGGGCGCCTCCGCTGCCGCCGCCGCCATCTTTCCTTTCCCTCAGCCAGCGGCCGGGGGGGGGGCGAGGGGGCGGTGCCGACGCAGGGCGCGCGCGGGGCCAGCTACGGCAGCTCGTGAGGGACGTTGCGGGAGGGACGCCGTGGCAAAGGAGGGCGGAAGCGGATACATCCCGGAACTACGGGGGCCCATGAGGACAGAAAGGGGTGCTCGGTCCTGCGATGACACCGCTTTTAAACCACGTCGCTACCCCGTAGAGCTCCGGATCTGGGGATGGAGGCGGGGCAGGAGTGCTTTTATTCAGAGCCCCGTTTTTGATGTGGGAGGGGGAGAGGCAGCAGCAGCAGCAGCAGCAGCATCTTAAACGGGCTATGGCGACCAGTTTGGGACAGAAAGGGCCGGAAACGTAGAGTGGGGGGCTCCGCGCTACCATCTGCCGCGTATCTTAGCAACCAGGCAAAACATGAAGCCTTAGGACGGTAGCCCGCGAGGGACAATAAGGGCTCCTCGAAGGGCGGTCGCGAGCTCTTTGTCGAGACCTTGGCTAAAGGCTGCCTAGAACCGGTGGGATGCTTGCGCCCCCAAGCGGCCACCCGGGTCCTTGCAGGCAAAAGGCATCTCCGCTGAGCCCCGGAAAGCCCCGCTGTCGACCCCGCTTCTTTGCACCTTCCGTGTTTGTTTGTGTGTGTGTGTGATGTTTGAAGCAAGTTCAATACAATTTTGAATAAATAACATATATTTAAAAAAAAACAGGGTAGAGTCAAATCCCCACATGCGAGAAATGGGGGTCGCCAAGTCCTCGGAAGCCTCATTTTTTGGCCCCCTTTTGCTTTTTCTTCATGGCCTTGGTCTTTTCCTCCATGAGCTTCAAGCTCTCCTTCTTGATCTCCTCCCGGCTGGGCAAGTAGCTGTGGTCGATGTCGGCAAAGTTAAAGGCTTCTGTGCGGGGCAGAGAGAGACACGGGGAGGGAGGGAGGAAATTGCGGCAGTGGGTCAGGTAAAGGAAGCCTCTGTTCGTTCTCTCTCTCTCTCTCTCTCTCTCTCTCTCTCACACACACACACAACACACACACACACACAACACACACACACAC